ACCTTAATTACGTTGAGAATAATTTATGACTCGTTGTTTATGTAGCCGAACAAGAGACAAACCAAGTGGATTGACAGGCAGAACTTAAGTCTATTCATCCATACTTACACTATGTTTCTCTGAACACAGCAACAAGGTAACCACCTACAGGCGATGACTGCCAAGGACCAAAACAAAGGTTACCTAGGTAACTAAAGGTTTCAAGAGGCAGGTGGGAAGATAATGAGGTTAAAAACCAGCCAGTAATTGATATTTTGGTAAGGAAATAACCACCAGGAAAACATAGGAGAATTTATTCCTGAGTAAAACAGATCTGTCATATCTTGTAAGTTTACACATAACACGTTGTTTGACACCTAAAACAAGATATAAAATAGCTTAGAGATCAATAATCACTTCTTAATTGTAATAATTATCACTTGTTTATCAATAAATGTTTTTATAAACATAATTATTATATTTAATTTATTAAATCAGAAGAGCATGATACACACACCCATAGATTTCTGGTAGAAATTATGAAAACAAAACTGTAAATATGAAAATTACATGTGATTGAAATAACAACTTTTCAACTATATATATATAAATAGAAAGTTTGAGTTTTCAAGTGAATTCTTCCTTATTCTATTTCAATATAATACTTAAGGCAGCCCTCCAGTGGCACAGTGGTATGTCTGCGGACTTACAACGCTAGAAACCGGGTTTCGATACCCGTGTGGGCAGAGCAACGACGATTAATAGACATGGAATTAGCGACTTTAACAAAGCAATTTATTGGTAAGACTCCTGTTAAGTATAGTTGTTTTGTAATTAAGCACAAAGCTACACAATGGGCTATCTGTGCTCTGCCCACCACGGATATCGAAACCCGGATTCTAGCGTTGTAAGTCCGCAGACATGCCACTGGAGGGCTTTAAGTATAGTAAAACATGATTGTTTACATAAACTAAATGCTGACAACGATTTACAAAGATACAGAATGTTGGTTAATATTATCTAGCTATATAGTTGCATATCTTTCAAATATAATTAAATTGATTGATTTTTCAAAATATAACTTGGTTTTCATTTAATGTATGTTTGGAATACTTACTAACATTTGGTATTTTTGCTTATTTTCATTTTATGTTTCATAAATATTTTGTGTGTGTTTTGTTTGTCTAATTAATACACGAACATATTTGCGTTGTTTTATTCTGAGAGCTTTCAAATCAAAGAAAAGCTGAGTGAGAATTTTGTTGCTTGTTTTTCACAAGCTCCGGCCCTCCAGTGGCACAGCGGTATGTCTGTGGACTTACAACGCTAGAATCTGGGTTTCGATACCCGTGGTGGCCAGAGCACAGATAGCCCTTGTGTAGCTTTGTGCATAATTAAAAACAAAAAACAAACAAACACAAGCTCCGAATTTAAAACATACATTTCTATAAATGTACGACAGTGTTTGTTTCGTAAAGGATTGACCTGGTTTGCTGTGACATCCAAAAGTGGATATCCACCAAGGTCTAATGGGACAAACGTTTCCTGAAAGAGCAATAAATACAACAAGAACGTATTTTCTTTCTTATCATCTAACAGATCTACGGCTGTATTTCAATCTTTCTCCCACAAAAGCAATCTGTGACATCTGGTCAGTAGTGACAATCTACTCCTTTTTCAATTGATCAATGATGTACCACATCGATCACAATCTGTTTACTTAAGCTAAGAGTATGAATACCAGTGATCAATAAATATATTTTCCTGTTGGTCAGCTAAAGGTCGTGACGAGTATAAAGAAGTAAAAATGCACGACGAAAGAACAAAAGTACACGGATGTAGAATTCTATATAATAACAATGGCTTTAATTTACACATGCAGCTAGAAAAGCAATATATGCGCAATAATATAGACTCATGGAGCAGTATACCGACCGGTATAATGGGTTTTGTAAAATATTTTTGTAAAACACGTAAAATATGAATTGTAGAATGTTTAATATATGTGTGATTTTTTTTCTTTAGTTTTTACAAAAATAAAAGCCTTACATTGTTTCGTGTTAGTAAAGTCTGTTTCGCATGTTTTTGTTTTTTGACGAAACAGGTAGTGCAAGTTTCAAACGTGAGCACATGTACTTTTATCACTAAAATTTTTTTTTTTTTAATCTTTATGTTGACGACATATTAATTTTCTTGTAACCCGATATCTTGTTAGTTACAGTAGCTGTTAGATTGTGTGGTTTATTTAAGAGAAAGTTTTTTTAAATCGGGGCAAACGTG